TTTTGTTTCCATTCCTCCTGCACCATAAGGCGATATTTACTCCGTAGTACTAGCACCCAACAAACCTGTGACTTCTAAAATGTGAACCATATGGAACAGTTAACAATCTACTGAATTTAGGTTCTGATAGCCTTGATAGCCTTTTAATTATCCCATAGCTTACAGATATATCTTTAAAAAAGTGGAAAGGAAATTAGGCAATGCCCAAACTCACCCCGCCTCGCATTCAAGACATCTCCTCTGATGATATTGGCTCGTCTTCCTCCGACAAAACCTTCCAGCCGCAGTTGTAGCTGTAGGTGAGACTTCGTGGTTGTGCTTCATCACCACAGCACTGATTTTAAATCCTTCTGGAGCGTAACGTACATCGAATTTGGCCATACAACCAAGACGCGAAGTGCTGGTCCCCGGTGCAGCTGAGCCAGAGGCACATCGCGCCAGGCTTTTTCGCTGACCATAATGAATACATTCATAAGTAATGCGCCGATAGCGATAGATCTCTTTTTCTTTCTCCCCAGCTTTGAACAGATCAGAGCGCCCAACTCGAAACTCACTTCCAGTGGCTTCTTCAAAAGCCTTCACTTTTGCCATTACAACAGCGAAGGAGGTGAGTTTTGCATTGAGAAAGTGTGCATTAAATTGTTCAGTGAGGTCGACAACTAAAAATGAGAAGCTGACTTTGACTTATAAATGACATACCTGGCTCAGGGTCACCCGCAATCTTTCCGTGGTTGTGCTGCATCATTCGATTCACGATTTGAAGCGCACCTTTTCGAACCTCGATACGAAATGAGGAAGGACATTGATGTGCTCTTTTCAAGACGCAAGAAAAGAGGGCCATTGTGTAAACAAGAGTCCGTTTTCGCGGATCCCCATCGTTGTAGCGAAGCGAATTCGAAACCTTATATTTCACCCCGTGCTTCTAAAAGCAAGCAGCCAACAATACTGAGTTGAATATGCGCAGAACACAACCCATTATCCTTAAATGTTTTTACACAGCAAATATAGAATTTGTGTTATGATGGTGTAAGGTAGAAATGACTCGAATCAAGATCATTGGAACAACTCACCCGGCTAAATTCTGAAAGGAGATCTTGTAGAGTAGAAAAGTCTTTAAAGGATTTGTTCCCAATCTCTGAATCAAAAACTTCTGACACGTCCATGGGCTTGAATAAAATCAATTTACACTTGTCGCTTAACCCTCTCAGTTAGACTATTCAAGCCTAGTAAAATTGGAGTAACGCTAGATAATGTGAAATAGTTAAAACAATTACCTTCTCAATCAAAGGAGTGTTTGCAATGTTGGATGTTAATAGTTATGGTTATTTTATTACGAGCTGCAGTTGCTGATCCTGTACAAAGACATCACAAATGCTGTCAATGCATGATGTGCTTGACAGAAGCAACAAATTCTGTGCTATATTTTGAGTGTTTAGCTTTCTGCATGCATTCGATGATGAATCATTCTAGTGTAGAAATACCATATTAGGTGGAGCAGCATGAGTGATCCCCGCTCTTCTTCGTCAGATACATCGATAACATCTTCCAATTGTCACCCAAACACTTATTGCGTAATTGCTTTTAGCACTGCACTCAGTCTATTCCCACACAGAGCCTCTTTATGTTCTACTAAGGCACACTTTTGTTTTGAAATAATGCGAAGACACTGTAGGGTAAATAGCTAGATAGCGTTGATCTATTTCCTTCTTTACATTTGCCAGGTTAACACTCTTGTAGATAGAGATTTTGGCATGGCATGAGCTGAGCCAAAATGTGGAGTTGCGAGATTTACAAGTAAGTACTCTTAGGCCTCGTGGGTTTATGACTGCACACACCATCATATGCCAGATGATGGTCTAACTCTTAGCAGATAAGTGCTTCAACCGATAGGGCACCGGTATGTGGACCTGTCCATCATTTCACGAATGACTGGATATAGTGTGGATTGCAATAAAAACAACCATAAACGACTTCTTAGGCCTCGAAACGGGATCCAGCAATGCAAGGGTAGACCAACCCTAGACAAATGTAAACCTCAATCGGCTATGAGGTACGAACAATTGAGCCTTTAAGCAAAGGAAGTGATATTCATTTGCAAGTGAGCCTCGAGGCCGTGAAAATAACTAGAGTACAAACACTATACCAAACCATGCATCAGACCTAGATGGTGTACAAAGTGCAGAGTAACCTACAACACCATATTGGGATAACTCATGAAAGCATTCTCGCGGTGGAGACTGGAAAATACACCCATCATCATCTCCATTGAAGTATTGGAAAAGCCAAGCCGCCGCAGATTCATGATGACCCTCAGTTTTGTCGAAAAATGGAGACAGAGGGGAAGATTAAAAGGAGAGCATTTCATTTTTGTACAGTCGGAGTGTTTGGGAGCGCATGTACGGTCTCTAAAGCACGGGCGCAGAGGCATCGTCGCTAGTTCTCTCAACTGACAAACGGACAGGCAGACAGAAGGGGACGGGGAATGGGGACTGGAGCAGCACAGCGGACGATAAACGTCAGGCGGGTGAGATGGAGGAGGAGAGTTATAAATAGTTTTAATTGATACAGGAACATCATCGTCATCATTGTTACTATTTCATTCATCAATAACGTCTGCTATTGTTGGGGTGGTTGTGGAAGTGATTTGAGCAGAGACGGCAGGCGGTAAGAAATAACTACAGCAGCAGATTCACAAACAAGATCCATGTACAGAGAAAAGGGGGATTGAGGAGGAGGGGAGGAGAGGGACGAAAGACTCTAGTGGTAGCTCGAGCGCACCCCTCCCGCGACAACACCCGCCTCCACACAAAGACGAACAGCCTGGAAGTCTACACCAAGGAATTGGCAATCATTTTCCAGGTCGCGTTGAAGGCTGGCAAAGTAGGTGTCAAGTTTGCGCTCCTCCTGATTGTGACCCTCCAGCACTACTTTTTTGTTCATCTCGATCTACAAAGACAAAAAGACAATTCAATGCTTTGGGATGGGAATGGATTCGATAAATTTTCTACTTGAGGTCATTCAAATACGTTGGAGGAGGGAAAAAACAGTCTTCATGGGCCACTATACTTTGTTATCTGCCGCATGTGGATCTCGTAAAGATCCATACTAAAACCTTTGCACTTCCTCGACTTTCTAGGCTCCTTTCCCACAGACCAATGCCAGACTTGTTGGTTA